TAGTGCTGCTGACAAGCTCTGGATGTCCCTGAGACAACCTACCTCAATGAAAAAGGTATATATAAACCTTGGGCTTCCATATGAACACTGTACCTATGTGCAAGCACCCATATACATGTGTACAATGTAAAGATATGTATACACACCCAAGCATATCACACACACACACACACACACACACACACACACACACAGAGAGAGAGAGAGAGAGAGAGAGAGAGAGAGAGAGATCCACCACCCCTCTAAAACTAATATATCTGCCTTCTCCCCTCTTTCCCATGAAGAAAGTATTTCAGTTTTAACTCTTGGCCCTTCTTTGATTTTACATTCTGTGTAATCCTGTGTGGGACCATGAAAGGTAGCTTGTTCCTGATTGAGCTAAGACTTGAAACCCTGGAGACCCTAAAGAGACAGTAGGAGTTTTGCCTGTCCCCAGGTACCAGGCCCCTGTCACTAGCTGCAGCTCCCCATAGAGTGGTGGCCATCAGTCACCAAAGGACAACACCCCAAGCCTCTCCACAGGTAGAGGATGTGACCTGTGGTCACATAGGCTCAAGACAGATCTTCATTTTAATGAGGTACCTAAAGGCCTGGAGTGCTTAGCCAATAAACTTTCCTTCCCAGATACTCTTCCTGGCAACAGGTATTTAACTACAGGCCCACCCTGAGAAGTGGGGTATGGTTTTACTCATCCACTTTCCGCCATGACAATAAATGCCTTAAAGCCATGGGCTGTCTCTTCTCATCGAGATCCGCTGAGGGGGAGCCACGGAGAAGGCCTTGCCTACAGATTTGCTGTTTAATCTCCCGTAGTAGGCCTCTCTGTGCTCCCAGCCACAGCCTCCAACCAAGCCAAGCTCAAGACTGCTGCTCATCAAGCCAAAGACTCTCTCGCGGGACCAGTTGGCGTTCCCTCCCTTCCTCCCCGCTCACTCCCCTCCCACCCTAGGCCAGATCCAGCCTGCGGGCCCTCACTCGGTTCTCAGCTCTTCCGAGGCTCCCAGGGGCACCCAGGTGTCTGAGGCCTGGGAACCCCAGGGCCCTGGCCTCATCACAGGCCCAGAGACCCCCTGAACCAGCTCCAGCAGTCCCTTTCCTCAGACTGTTTTCCCAGCCCCACAGCAGTGTCCCAGGGCTTCTTGTAATGTCATCTGCCTCTTCTCTGTTAAGGAGGAACTACTTTCTGAGACATGCATCTGTGCGCTTAGCCAGTAGAGGCCAGACGTCCTCCTCTGCACACTGAGTGATCCCTGACCATTTTAATGGCATGAAATAAAGCAGAACCTAAGGGTTATTAGCATTCCTTTTTTTTTTTTTGACAACAATATACCTCTCAGCATAGTCTTGTCTGTAAGTACTAGTAGGTACTTGAAGTTCACGTGGTATTTAAAGGATATTCTGAAAATGTTGTTACTATCCCAGAGAAAGTCAACTTCCCTTTCTCAAAATGAAAAAGATTTTTTAAAAAATAGCTTATTTCTCATGGGTATAATAACCACACTTAAGGGCAGGCCCTATGTAAAGTAGTAGATAGTCAACACAAAATGAACTCAATGGTATTTGTGTGCACTTTGTGTCTCATATGGATGTTTTGGACTTTTTTTTCCTCATTGGACTTTTGCTTGTACATTGAAGGTTCTGATTTTGTGCTTTTATGGGCTTGTTTTTTGAATACTTGTTGTGTGTGTGTGTGTGTGCGCGCGCGCGCGCGCGTGTGTGTTTCTAGTTTGTTTTGTTTGCCTGTTTTCTACAGTGAGAAGGAAAGGGTGTGGAGGTGGGTGGGTGAGGAGGTACAGAGGAGATGGAAGGACTTGAGGGAGGGGAACAGTCATCAGGTATACTGTATGAAAACATTATTTCCAATTGAAATATAAATAATTATAAATTTTACACAAATACATGGCATGATTAGATTCTAATTATCCTTTTAAATAATTCAGCCATTGATTTTCAAGAATTTTTACAGTTTCTTTTAATCGGGTTTTGAGGAGCCTGCATCCTTAAAAGTCTTTTTTCTATGATTTCTTTTTGAGAATTCACTGCCACACAGACACTGTCACCTCTAACACAGGAGCAAATGTAAATGAAGCAGGTTTGGCCATGCTTTCCTTGGTGTCCAAGGCACACACATGTCCAAGTGACGCCGGGGCGAGGGGA